TGGAATTGCTAGTGACAAGGAGTTAACCACTTTGATTTCAAATAGGGGTACTTCAAGATTTTCAGTTGGAGTCAGTTGAGGTTGATAGAGAAGAGCAGGTGGGGATATATTTGAATAGATATTAAATTGAAAGGTGAAAGGAAATTGACTAAACTTGAAAGGAAAGTTGGATTAACTAGCAGTTCAGGAGGTTTTAACTATAGTAATTTGGAAATGAGTCAGGTTAAGAGAGGGCCAATTATATTTTATACTTATACCATTGATATAATATGAAGCTTTGCTTTTCTGATTGACTGTCATTGCAAATAGATTTACAGAAGTCATCCCAACTACACTTAAAGCACCTCATTATAAATTGGACAAATGATCAAGATACCAGATAATTATCACTTCTGCATTATCAGTAAAGACTGCTTGTTGCTGAAAATTACATATTGGAATTCTATTTAATGTGTTTAGGTCTGACTATATTGCTAAAAAGAAAGAAATTCCATTAAGGAAGAAATATTGTTTCATTGTAAACAGAAAGAAGTATCTCTTGGAATCAAAGCTAAGCAGTAACAGATAAGGATCTGTTTGAGAGAAAAGTTTTTAGAAGAAATAAGAGGACTTGATAATCTGAGTTGCTATAGATCACAGGTGTCAAACTTGCCACATCACGTGACGTGTTGCAACGTATTGCAACTTTTTTTGCATTGCTGGAGCTGGGGTGGGCATGGATTCTGTATAATGCAACCGGCTCGTGGGCTGGCAGTTTGACACCACTGCTATAGATATTGTTGAAATAATAGTACCCAAAGCCATCTTCCGGGTGACAGGAACTCATAAAATATAATCATTTAAATGTCTTAAAGTTTAGCATTAAATGGAGATTCCAGGAGGATGTTATATACATAACAGAACATTTCAAAAGGAGGATCCTGACCGAAGCTTTTTGGCATGCTGATGAAATGTTACAGAAACATATGAAATACAATCTAGCATAAGAGAATATTCAAAACACCTGCCAGGTAAGACTGTTAAGGATGCAGGGTCTGTTGAATCAAGACCTGAGAAACATCACTATTGGAAACCCAATAGGGAGACAACTTTTTCCTCTTAACTACTGTTAAGATGTCCTTCAGGTGAGCTCATAAATAGACTTGAGCCACCTGAAATAAGATGTTAAGATAAAAGAATGGTCTGGTTGGAATCCTGGTTATAATGTAAATGGGCTAGCTGTTTCCTCTTAATCTCCAGATTTGAAACTATAATTATCTTTTGAATCTGGGTGCAATAAAAGTGTCCATTATGTTTAGCAGGACAAGTATGTATTAGATCTAAAAACCCAAAGCTTCCTGGATTAGAAGTGAGAGATTGAGATCTTGTCTGTTAACATACATGCCTTAACTTTCTGCAAATTAGAGGAACAGCAGGAAGAGCATATAGGAGGCCCTGGGGATATCTAATAGTCAAAGCTGTGATTGCTTTTGTGGTTGATTGGCAATGCAAAAATGTCCACAAAGGGCATTCTAAATTGAGTTGAAATGCTGCCAAAGATGGCAGGACTCAGACTCTGCTATCTTGGATCTAGTCCCCCTGACTGATCCAACCTGTAACTGAAATGAAATGAGCAGAAATACACAATATTCTCCTGAAAGACTGATGACTTGAAGGTTTGCCTGTCAATGCATTAGAGGTGCTGCCTGCATCGGAAAAGGAATCTTGATCTTCCCTGATGTTGAAAATATGTTCTTGTAGTTATTTTGACTGTGACTATGATAATGTGATGGATTAGCAGAGGCTGAAAACATGCAGGAACAAATGGTTCCATTAAACCAATTGCCTGGTTTGCCAGTTTCTTGGCCGACAAGGCACCTGCCTTATGTATGGAGTTTCCAGTGTCTTGATACCTACATCACATTTCTTTTCTTCAGATTGGAGGACATGACCAAAGTATCTTTTTTAAAATTCTAGTTAGTAACAGCAAAACTTAATAAGTATTGAAAGTTAATTGATTTGGATCTGAAGGGCAGAAGAAGAGACTGAGAACAGGCTGTTGCCCAGGGCATTGAAGTTATGGGAGTCACCACATATCCTGAAGCCTCACTATAGACTTTAGATCAGTCATTGCAGGACTAATCTGACAAACTGTTGTGTGAATTGTCTCCTTAACTCTGAAGAAAAAACATAGCCTTCTCCACACCCAGAATCTCCTTTAGGTGTTCTAAGTAATTTTAAAGAGATAGATAGTTCTTCTCAAAGTTTACTAAGAATTGCAGGTGTTGCAAACATGTTAACTTGCCTACATATCTCTCAATCCATATTTGTAGATAATCAAAATACTATCCCAATAATGATATGTGACCCCCTTGACTCTGAACACAAGCCATCATCATCAAATCCAGGTTGCAGAAGGTAAACTGTATAGCATGAGATCTTCGTGTTAGAAACAGTGTTTTGCCAATGAAGGAGAATATTTGTAGCTCAGGGTTGAAATGAGGGGTCTTTGGTGCTCTCTGAGCTTGCTTGTTTTCTTGCAGATGTTTCATTATCCTAACTAGGTAACATCATCAGCACTAGTAAGGAGTGCTGTTTGCTGTCAGTTTATATTCTGGTGTCTAGCCTGTCTATGTGGGTGAGTGGGCAGGGTCTTAGGGATTCTTTGGTAGGGCTGTTTATTAATGGCTCTTTGGCAGTTTGTTGATTAAGACATTGCTTACTTGATTGTTGGTCTGAAACTGACCTTGGAGTTAATCTATGCTGATCTGAGTGCTGATTACTGGTTGGAGAGGTGCTGGAATCTTTTTCTCTTTTGGGCTAGTTGATTGTCTCTTTTGCATAGACTATAGATGTTGTTAATGTCTATGTATCTATTGATGGCTGATGTCAGAGCGACAGGCTTCTAGAAATTCCCTGGCATTTTTGGATTTGGCCTGGTCTAGGATTGTCACGTTTTCCCAACCAACCTGAAGCTGTAGAGTTAAGCTAAGACTTTGTTCTTGTCTCTAGCTTAGCTGTATTTGACACTGGTTTTTTTTCAAATTAAGTACTTCATGAGTTTTGATTAATGATTGATAGTGTAGAAAATCATAAGACTACCTGAGAAGACTCTTTTCTACTATCCTCTGAGTGTTTTGGCATCCTTCCCTATACTTACAATGATACCTCCAGACTCAAGGCAACCACGCTAAGGACCCTGAGGGACTAAAACATCTTCTGAAAAACAGCTTGATCTTTATTAATAATAATAAAAAATCACCCTTTAGTCTTGGAATTATCAATTATATTTAACACATTATTGGAAATCTCCAGAAAAGGAAATATAGCAATGAGGAAAATTACTCCATAGTTTTTTGGGGAATCATCTGAGGCAACTTTGGGACAAAGATTAACTTCTAATATTTTTCAGACTTTTTAAAAAGAACAGTAAAATCAGATTTTTTTCCCTCACCAGCCAATTACATATCTCCCTTCTGTTTGAAGACATGGGAGGCAAGAACATCAGAAGCGACTGACAAGAAAGAGATGCACTGAATAGGCCAATATTCTTGTTTTTTTTCTCGGTAGTTGAGTAGCCAGGGGAGTGATTCTGCTCAAATTATTGGGGTTGGGGGAGGAGCATCGGGAAGCTGGACAAGAGCCAGCCTTTTCATCCAGGAGCACATGTTGGTTGTAAAGACAAAGGAGAAAAAAAATGGGCACTGGAAGCTCAATCAACTTTTGAAATCTTCCCAAATTATGGAAAACAATTACAACAGCTGAGAATAGTGGATGGAGGTTTCGTTCCCTACCCAATTACATAATTCCAGATCGAACAAGATGCCATTAGCCACAACATAATGCCCCTAAAAGAATAAAGTTAACCTATTTGATATTAAACTCTATTTTCTTTGGTACAAATTAGAGTGTGCATATTTTCATCTTAGGAAATGTTAAAAATTATACCTATTTTAGGCCTTTTACATTCATATACAGTATGTTGTACAAAAGCATGTGATTTTCCCAGTAACATCTCCCTTATAACAAAGATAGCTGAAGGAAATATATAACTGCACAGGAAGAACGGGCTTGCTGAAGGCTGTTTCCAGTTTATTGTTATAGTTATATATTGATATATATTTATAGTAACCAATAAAACTGTGACACAATAACTAATGTATTTTGCAAGTGTTAATAAAAATCCAATTACATGGTTAGCAGTATCTGGTCCTGCAGAGAGATCCAGTGGTCATTGCTCTTACAAGGAACCTTCTCTATATCTGTTGGCTTTCTATTATTAGATAAAGAAATGTTTTCCACAATAATAGGTAATGGAAAGACCACTTTTCCACTATATCTGCCCAGTGTTCTGGCCCCTTGATGCCCAGAAGAATGGAGAAAATGCTGGTTGTGTCCGAAGGAGACACATAGAACTTCTCTGCAGAGTCATCTGTAAATGAAATCTCCTGAGCCGAGAAAGAAAAATATATATTATGTTGGATTCCACTCATTTCTTTTGTATCTCTGAATTCAGAGTTTCTGTGGTGTACTAAAATACCAGAGATCTTCTAATGCAATGGCTAAAGTTAGATTGGTTCTGTTCTCAGTAATTTCTCTACTGAAACTAGCCAGCAGAGCGCAGGCAAAAATTTCATGAAGCAAGCTAGACATAATTGGAATTGGACAATGGCTGCTTTCTCATAGTAAGGATTAATCAAAATGACACCAAGGAATCCAGTTAATTGAAAAATAATATTTTGTCATAATAATTTAGTAGTCTTACAACTTTTTTTATACAAATTAGTGTTTGAAATTTAAGAATGACGACCACAATATTCTTAGAACTGGTCTATTTAGTTGAACTTCTGCTTTTATTCTTAGGTAAAACATTATTTATATTAAGTACTATTATTTGTTTATCTGCTCACATAGAGACCACACAGGAGGAGGAAAGAGTATTAGAGTAGTCAAGTTCACTGCCTTGAGTTATTATAAAAATAATAAAGGTGGAATACAAACAAATAAACAAACAAACTCACTGTTCAGCAATAATGTACTGGTCCTCTAGTGGAACACATTCCACACCAGCTACTTGTACATTGTGGGCTATCTCAGAGAAATCCAGCCCCAGGTTAACACCACGAATTGTGACTCGTGTTCCTCCTTCTGGTGGACCTGATAGTGTTAGGATCTGGGAAAGTAAAAGAACAAGCATTGACAATGGAAACAAACTTTAGCTTTATAAAATAAGAAAATTGGTGAGAAAAATATAAATGGTTCTACAAATGGTTCTGAGAAAGATCTAGATTCTTTTTTTAAAAAAATAAGTTTTATTAAACGTTATAAAGAGAACATAACAACTAATGCAAAATAGAGAGAACAAAGAAACAGAAGAAAAAGCAAAAGAGAAAGAATGGAAAGAAGTAGAAAGAATCAGCTTCCAATTTCTTCTGCTCCAAATATAAATATGGTTACAAAATTGTCTCTTATTCTATGATTACAAAAGAGCTCACTTTTTTCTATTATCCATTTTTTTCTAATAATCAGAATCATAAGTCATAAGAGCATTTTCTCTGTTCCATGCAAAAATTCTAAAAGGAATCAGTTATAAATGTAGATATTATCTTTTCCCTGATCAAGAAAGTTAATTATGTCATGTCTGCAAGCTTCATCATTTTTACCAGCTATTCCTCCATTGTGGATAGTGTAGAACTTTGGCGTATTACTGCTATTATGTGGATAATTTGGGACAGCCCCATAGCTGACATAGCCACAAATTCTGGAGCCAGCTCAGCCATGAAGTTGAGAAGCTCAGGCAGGGAAGTCACTACATAACAGGGAAGCTGGTACAATAGCAGTAGTCCCAACTGAGCCCTACTGATGCTCAACTTAAGAAACAGCATATCTGGTAATGTAAATAGAATGTCCCCTGGATACTTCTCTAGTTTCTTGTATAATCACCACCATTTCACCTCCCCTATCTTGAAGTCTTAGCTGATGCCAAATCTGAAAACTGGCTGGGCAAATCTCAGAGCAGCATTCCACCCTCCTGTCCCAGCCAAGTCTCTATGAAATACAGATTGGCCTTCTCTTTAGCAATTAAATCATTAATACAAGTAGCCTTATTACAGACCAATATAGTGTTACAGATCAATATAGTGTTACAATTACAGACCAATATGGTGTTCAACAGTAATGGAGCCCAGCCTGGGGACTAGAAAGCCTACCATTCTGGGCCTGAGGTATAGTCCAGGAGATTGGTATGCTTCACAGGAATAAATACCTGTGGTTCGGCCCTGTGACTTGATCACTTTAGTCTTTAAAATCTTCTGAATTAATTGTATGTATTTATAGCCATTTCTTTTCTTCTTCTTTTTTACACATCCAAGAGACATCTAGCTTCCAATTCTTCCCACCTCATTCCCCTGATTAGTATAGTAGTTCAAAATCTCTTTTCTCAGGAATGTAATGTGGGAGAATTTATGAAGTCATAATGAATAGCTTGAATAATGAATATGTCTAGAGGTAGCTAAGGCTGAGATAACACATTTCTGCTGTATGGTTCTGGTCTAAGTGCTTTGATGAAACAATATATTCAGCCTAGGCTTGTGAATATAGAATGTCATATACAGTGGTTTAGTGATTGCTTTTGAAGTGTAGAATCTCTTCATGACATATATAGCCATATACATGTCTCACAGAATACCAGTAGATTGTATAGCATCCAGTTTATTAAGAATACAATTCATACACATACTTAAAATATATCTAATATGAAGAACATTGAAAAGTGTTCATCTAAATAGAGAAGATCACTATGGGAAGTTGTGTTTAATGAGGCAATACACAATATGCTTGGAAATGAAGCATTAAATGGCACTTAATATGCAATGAAGTGTGAGTTGCCCAAGAAATCTGCAGTATTTCCAAGTACAGTAATTTGAACATCAGCACATATGAATATGCTCTCTGAACATTGCAGGAGCAGGAATAATTTAATGGTCTGTGACTATAAAACATCAATGCTGGCAATACTGTTACTGGGATAAGACAAAATAAGAAAGCAAGCTTTTGCGCTCTCCAGAACTTTCATTAAACAGCAGGTTAAGCAATAAGGAAAGGAAACCAAAAGCAGGAAGAAAGATTTAAGTCAAACTATCATTAGCTTCAGAGTTTTCTCCCTTTTTTATCGAATGAATAGAAGTCTCAGGTAAAATGCAAAATATTTTAACACTGTATACAAAAACTATACAATTCTAGGATTAGGCAAACCATATATATAAACAAAAGGATGAAGGTGGTTTAGGCATATTGAATTTGAAACATTATTGTAATGCCTTTCACCTAAGATATTTCATTTCATTAGGAATTAACATGTCAATAGGTACAAAGGAAGTTAACCTAAGTACTCCGGTTATAGTAATAGTACTCTCAAATCCATATTTGAGAGGAAAGGTGAATGGTTCACCTAATTGTTGATAAATGTTTGTAACATATGAAAATAAGTTTATTAAATACAAAAATAATATTTTGTACAATTAAAACTGTAGAATGAAAATCCTATTACTACTGTTATTAATGTTAAATATACATTAGGCGAAAGGATTAGTTACAAGTTCCCATTTGATTCCAAGGTAGTAAAATTCAACAATTCCTTTATTAATGAATTTGGTCTCATCAGTTATTAACAGACATTTGAGGAATGGTATTGATATATTTCCTTTAAAGAGAAATAACTTCAATATCCTGCAATATAGCATGATAGGTTGTCTTGAACATCTGAAACAATTCTGGAAGGATAATTTGAAATTGGAACACTTGATGGCAGAAAATTCTATTTAAACCAATTTTAATAAGTAATTAAGAATTGGCCATAAAAATAATCACTATATGGTATTTCATTTTGACAAATTATGCTACAAAATTGTAACCTTTCTAGATTGTATTAGTGAGGTTGTAATTGGTATATATCTCATTGGTGGAAATGTCCAGTTAGTAACAGCAATAAACCAGTGTATTGCTTTTAAAAAGATAACAAACCATGATAGAGACATTCACTTAGTTTGTTGGGGTGGAGGGATGAATATATTTATGAAAAACTAAGTAGATTTAATTTTAATTAAGACAATTACTCAACAATAAGTCACAATTGTTCTACTGTTTGCTTATTTTCCATATATATATATGAGCAAAAGAAAATGATTTCTGTTATTGCCTGTTAATTTGTTATAGCAAAATATTGGGACTACAAAATATTGGGACTACAATCATTAATTTTGTTTTATATAAGTTTAGTTTTTTGCTTCGCTTTGTTTGAAGAATCAATAGAGAACCTTGGTGAAACCCCCATCACAATAAAGAATGAATTTATTCTTTATTCTTTTTTCTTTTTTAACTCTTCATTTCTACTAATGGCTCAATTATAAGAAAGAATGTAGGAGAAAGATAGCAGAATATCAAGGAGCTGCTGCACAGAGAACCAAATAATTGTTAATTCCCATTTTGAAAATACAAAATCCAGCAATGATCTAGAACAGTGGTTCTCAACCTTCCTAATGCCGTGACCCACACGCACCCACACACAACTCACACGCACCCACACGCACGCAAGAACGCGGAAAAGGAAATAACTCCAACCAAGGAAATGGGCAGAAAGTCCTGGCGTTTCTACAAAGCAGCAGCAAATCAGGGCTTCCCAGTTCCTGGCTCCGAGCAGCCCCAGCACAAAGAGGCCTTTCCTCTTAGGCAGCCCTTGGAAAAATGCACTTTCTTTCTCGCCTTCCTTCCTTCCTTCCTTTCCTCCCTCCTTCCCTCCTTCCTCCCTTCCCGAGACCGCTCCGACCCTCGCATGCTGGTCCGCCGCAGCCTTTGGATGCCTGGAGCATAGAGATGGCTCTCCTGCTCAAGCTAGAGCAACCCCCTCAGCTGGCCGAATGTCGCCGCCGTGGCTCGAGGCCTATTCGGTGGAGTTGCGGGCGAGCCAAAGGAGAGGGGCCCAGCAGAAGGTTCTCTGCGCCCCTCCTGCACCGCCATGTTGCCAGGAATTGCTAGTTTGTCGGCTCGAGCCCAGCTGCATGGAGGGAGAAGGCAAGGGACGTCGGCTTCTTTCTTTTCTGGCGACTGCTCCCCAGTGTTTGCTTTATTTGCTGAATCCCTCCCGTGGTCTTGGGAATGCTTTACGGCTAAGACCATCAGAAATATGTGTTTGCCGATGGTCTTAGGTGACCCCTGTGAAAGGATCGTTCAACCCCCAAAGGAGTCGCGACCCACTGGTTGAGAACCGCTGATCTAGAAGCCTGATGATGTCTAAGTGAAAATAATACATTTGTCATAAGAAACAAAAGTAAAGAAAAATCTAGTAGGATTTTATTGTTTCTTTCTCTATACGAAACAAATTGAAGGTGCACTGAAAACTATTATTAAGGTTTAGAGAGTACATAATCCTGAAAAAATAGTAACCGTTTAGCTTCTCCTTTAAAAGGACTGCTTGACTCTAGATTTAGGAACATAAAAAGAACTCCCATCACTGAAAGAATTCTAATGAGAAATGAGTTTCATGCATATTTAATTATAATTCACACTAATGAAATCATTACATCTAATAGATTAAAAACAAAGCTGAATGGTCACATCAAAATCCCATTGTTTGGGACTGCTGCATACTAAAGGCCTAAATACCTTCAATTCTTTATTGCTTTCTAAGTTTTAATCTCTTTTTAAAATACTGCCTTAAACATTGTGATACAGTTACATATTTAAATTTTCTTCCATGTTTACTGAGGTGATAAAGTTATTTATTATGAAAGGAAAACTGAGAATCTCACATTTTTAGCACACAGTATTTAAAACAATGCTTTAGAAAAAGTAAAGAGAATCAGTTTGGTCTAATGGTTAAGGCACTAGGCGGGAGATAATAAGTTCTAATCCTGCCTTAGGCATAAAAGCCACCTGAGTGACTTTGGGCCAGCCACCCTTTATCAGCCAAACCCAACTCGCAAACCTGTTGTTCTGGGGAAAATAGGAGGAGGGAGCATTAGATATGTTCACTGCCTTGAGTTATTCATAAATATATTAAAGGTGAAATTGAAGGTAATCTTTTCAGGTACTGCATTTTTAGTAGAACATGCATTTGGATTCATGTTGCAGTAAGAAGATGTCTTACTTCTTACTGCATTATCTTGGAAATACTGT